GTGTCTGCTCCAAGCCGAGGGTTTTATCCTTCCCCAGCCCCTCTGTAAGGACACTGAAGGGACAGTGTAGGCTTGGGTTAAGGGCACAGGACAGGCAAGGAGCAGTGGTGCAGCGGGGCCCCCGGCCTCCAGTCCTTTTACCCTGGAGTCTAAGTGGCCACCTCTTTCTGCTTCCACCTGTGCTTGTACCGGGACTTGCAGAGGCGACTCCCCCGAGAAGGGGAGTGATGGACAATGGCCCCAAACTCGCCTACTTGGACTCCTCCTCTTCTCTGAACCGCCCTGCCTCCCCGGCAGCACCCTGCCCTGGAACACCCACTCGGCCCTTCTACTTGGCACTTTGTCTGTCTCTCCTTCCCTGGTCATCTCCTGTTCTGCTGACTCTGTCCCTTTCCCCTCCTCTCACCTTTTCCTCTTCTGTTCACGTGATAAGCACTTACTCAGCATGTGTTATGTGCTCACAGCATCAGCTGCAGCTACGTAATTTGTGGGGTCCAGCATGAAAACACGGGGTCCCTTGTTCCCAGGCACGAAGGATTTCAGCACAGCGGCAGCAGGGTGTTAGACTGGCCGTGAAGCCTCACATGGGCGCATGGGTTCCAGGTCCTTGAAGCCGACCTTGTGTGCATGGCACTTGGGGACAGAGTGGAAATAGGTACTGCTGCAGAATCACATTTTATCACATCACCTTTTAAAACACTTTTATTCTGGAAATATGCTGAGGCACATAAAAGAGGAAAGGATAGTAAAACGAACTCTCTGGGTACCCCACACCGACAATTACTAACATTTTGCCAATCTTGTTTTGTCTCTTCCTTCCACGTCTCCCATCTTTTTTTTTTTTACTTAAAAAAATTTTAGATAGAGGGAAAGGAAGGGAGGAAGAGAGGAAGAGAAACATTAATGTGTGGTTGCCTCCCACACGCCCCCTACTGGGGACCTGGCCCACAACCCAGGCATGTGCCCTGACTGGGAATGGAACCAGCCACCCTTTGGTTCACAGGCCAGTGCTCAGTCCACTGAGCTACACCAGCCAAGGGTCTCCCATCTTTTAAAAGGTGTCCTGTGCCCTAAATATTTCAAAATGTAGTTCCAACGAATGAGAATGTCTTTTGTGTACTACTGCCCTGCCATTATCACACTTAATGAAATTCACATTAATTCCTTACTATCACTTAATACCCAAGCCCATGTTATTTTCCACCAGTCGTCCCCAAAATGTGTTCTTACAGTTTGTATATATCTATTTTTTAAACTTATTATTAAAACCAATATGGACATTTACTGAAACAATCCAATTAGAAAATCAGCAAAAGACATTAATAGACATTTCACTGAAGAGGACACACAGATGGCAAATAACCACATGAAAAGGTGTTCAATGTCATTAGTCCTTAGGGAAATGCAAATTAAAATCACAATGAGATATCAGAGCAAACCTATTAGAAAGGCAAAAATGAAAGAATAGTAATAACACCAAATGCTGGTGAGGATGGGGAGACACCGGGTCACTCGGGCAGTGCTGGTGGGGAGTAACATGGCACAGCCGCTCTGGGAAAGCAGGGCGGTTTCTTACAAAGCGAGACATGCGCTCACCACGTGACCCAGCAATTGTACACGTGGGCTCTTACCCCGGAGAAGTGAAAACTTCCGTGCACACAAAACCCTGGACGTGAATGTTCATAGCAGCTTTGTTTGTTAATAGCCCCAAACTGGAAACAACCCACATGTGGCTTTTCATGCAGCAAGTGAAACAGACTGGCATTTTCATACCGGGAAAGACACTCAGCAATAAATGGGAACAAAGTACAACCTAGGCCACACCTTGGATGGACCTGGAGGGCATTGTGCTGAATGTAAGCAAGCCAATCGGATCCCATTTCCACAGCACCCTTGGAAGACAAAATTCTACGGAGAATTTAGCGCTTGCCAGAGGTGAGGGAGGCGGGGAGGGAGGGAGGTGGCCGTGGCTATGAGAGAGCAGCACGAGAAACTCTGGTGCTGGGAATGCTCTGCATCTGGACTGTGGTTGTGGTCACGTGGTGTTCAGGTGATAAGATTATGAGGAACTAAAATGCAGACACACAAGTAGTCCATGTGGCACCGGGTATAAAATCTGAGGAAGGCTGACGGGTCCCTTCCGAGTCGGTTTCCTGGCTGTGTCACTGTCCTGTAGCTACGCAGGATGTTACCCTGGGGAGACCGATGAAGGGGGTGTAGCGTCTCTCTTGTTACATCTGACATTTGCACGTTGAAGAATTTGGACATTTCTGGGAGGATACGCACACACACAGAAGACTAGGAATCGGAGCGGAAACGTGTTTTCACTCGACACGTGGCTTTGTTTTGTTTCGCTAACCGCAGGCACTGCACAGCTTCTGGTTGTTGTCAACCACGACTTGCACTTTGGCTCTGTAGAAAAATGTCACGTCTAGGAATTTTACCTAAGAAGTTGTGCTCTTGTAAGCTTGGAATTGAAATTGCAATGCAAGAAAGTGGTCACTGTTGAATGCTGGGTATGGACACAATCACAGATTTTGTATGATATTATAGTTTTCTGTCAGAAGGGGAGGAGAGGAAGGAAGGAAGCCTAAGTATAAACCTCTCTTTGCATTAGAAGAACAGAATACTCCTTTACTTAAAGAAATACAGCTTCTTTTGGGGGCTTTCCCCTCTCTCACCTCGTTGGTTAATTTTATGGGTCAACCTGATGGGCCCACGGATGCCCGGGCAGCTGATAAAACATGGTGTCTGGGTGTGCTGGGAGGGTGCTCCCGGAAGAGGTTAGTGTTCGAGTGGACAGACAGCACAGATGGCCCTGACCCACGTGGGTGGGCGTCACCCCGTCCGCTGAGGGCCTGGGCAGAACACAAAGGCAGACGACGGGTGCGTGTGCTCTCGGCTTGAGCTGAGACATCCCTCCCTCCCGCCCTCGGACGTCAGTGCTCCTGGGTGTTGGGCTGTGGACTCCATCGGAACTGCAGATGGTGGACCGTGGGAGTCCTCAGCCCCTTGCACCAGGGTCTCTTCTGATTTCTCTGCATATGGATACGTATCCTACTTAACCTGTGTCTTGGGAAAACTCTGACCAAAACACTCATGTTGGACTCCATTTGGCTGACACTTCCAGAAATCATCATCTAGATATGAATGTAAGGATAAGTCTAAATGGTCTCCTTCCTCCAGACAACACGGAGCTCTGCTCTGGGGTCAGGGGCACAGGTGACTGGGCAGATCTGGGGAGAGTGCAGCTGGGACAAGAGGTTACCCCACATTCGCCTGTGAGAAGATTCAGGGTTAAGTTAAGCAACGGAGAGGTTTAGAAAACAACGGGAAGAACGCACAACTGTACCCAAAGGTGAATCTACAAATTCTGGTTTTTCACTCCTTTAAATGTACATTTGTTTACCACAATAAATGATTATTTAAAAAGGTAGACAAATAAAATGGGAACACTTTGACATATTTCATTCTAGGGTTAGTATGTTAACATCCTCTGGAATGTAATATATTTTAATGTATCAAGACATAATTGAACCAAGGGGGAGGGTGGAAGCAAGGGAGGGAGGTGGGTTTGGAGGAGGTGGGGAGAAAATACGGACAAATGCAACCGAACAACAATAAAATAATTTAAATTTTAAAAAAAGACTTAACTGAGATAGTACTATTTTTTTAAAGATTTTATTTATTTTTAGAGAGAGAAGAAGGGAGGGAGAAAGACAGGGAGAGAAATGGCAATGTGTGGTTGCCTCTCGAGTGCCGCCCCCCCTCCCCGCCCCCACAGGGGACCTGGCCTGAAACCCAGGCATGTGCCCTGACTGGGCATTGAACCTGCAACCATTTAGTTCACAGGCCCGGGCTCAATCCACTGCACCATACCAGCCAGGGCTGCCATCATGCTATGGAATACATAGTTTCATTGTTTTTCCCAGTCAATATCATATCCTAAGATTTCCAATGTTCTTTATAATCCCTCAGACATACAGTTTTAGATCGCTATGAAACATTACATGTTAGATATACAATGATCTATTCAAGTCCTCCTGTTATTTTTAAGTTATCGGACGTCACAAATAAGGCTGAGGCAAGCATCTCATGAAATCTGCTCGAAGGAGGGAGGGCTTATTTGCAGATGTACCTCTGGCATCACTTCAGATAAGCCTGTCAAGGATGACCCGGAATCCTGGAACATGCTGGAATAATGGAAAAGGGGGAGAGAGGAGGGAGAGAGAACATGATCGGGGACAAGAGTGGAAAACGGGACGTGAGGCGGGGAAGCGGCGGAGGGGGAAGATGATGGAGCCACGCTGTCGTGGGCTCCGAACCTGCTTCCCACCAGGAGCCCACGGGTGGCTTCGGCTTCTGAACGGAGGGTGTCTGCAGAGAAGTCCGAATACTGTTGAAACAAGGCATTCTGATGGTTGCACCGAGGGCACAGACAGACAGAGCAGGGGCTTTGGACAAATCCCTGGGGGAGCAGCAAAGCTACAGGTTTGTGGGAGAGCGGCAGGCTCTCATAGGCAGGGAGAGGCCTGGGTCCTTCTCAGGACCTGCACTTGGGTGAGAGGAGGGAACTGAGATGAGCCACTTCCCCAGGCCAAGGCCATGCCAGGCGGTCTCCCTGCGCGGCCTTGCTCTGGTTCTACTGGTCAGCGCAGCTGGACCCGGTTCAAATATCTGGGTGCAGTCTCAGCCACACTCTGGGTCCCTCCAGCCTTCGGGGCCCACGGGGCCTAGGTTTCGGCCCCATCTCGGACACCGTGGCTGGTTGGAAGACACTAAGTGCCCAACTGCATAACTGCAAAATCCATCCGCCTTAGTCTGGTGTCCTGGCAGAGAGCCCTGGGGAGTTTCTGTAGAAGAAAAAGAGGGGTTCCCCGAGGTGGGCTGGGAGCTGGGGACCCAGCCAGAGCTGCTCCTCTGCCACAGCTGGAGTAGACAGCACGTGACCACGGGGACAAGAACACACAAACGCCACAGAAGACCCAGACCCAGAGCTACTGCATCAGGGGCATTTGGTTTATTCCGGGGGAGGCAGAGTTTGGGGCTCTTGCAAGGCACTGAGGAGCAGCTGTGAGAGTCACGCAGACGATGCACCCCAGCCAGGGCCACAGAGGGGTCCCCATCCCGGCGCCCCTCGGTGGAGCAGGGGTGAGTGCAAGGCTTTGCTTCCTCTGGGCATCCTTAAAGTTTGGCATTCACGGCTGGGGGCACAGGGCCCATCCACTTCTCCCCTGGATGGAGAAAACCACGCACATCAGAGGTGGACTCCACAAGCCCCCAGGGGCTCCCTCAGAAGAGCTGTGCTGGGCTGCCAGGTACAGAAGCTTCCTTCCCTCCTGTGTTGGGGAAGGCGACCCCTCCCCACCTGACCTCAAGCTCCAGTGTCTGTATAAGGCTTCCCTGTTGGAAATGCCAGGAACGTTTTTTGCTCTGAACCTGTCCTTCTGGTCAGTGATATAATATCAGTGGGACTGGGGTCAAGGGCGGCTCAGTGTGAGCCTGTCACTTACCCAGCAGGTGCGCCAGCAACTCCATCCGGTCAGAGCCAAAGAGCATGTGGGTTTGGCCACCCAAGTGGGTCACGGTGACAGGCAGCCCAAAGGCCTAGAGAAAGCAGAGCAAGTGCAGGGAGGAGGGTGTTTAGTGTACTAGGCTGGGGTTGAATGCTGTGAGCCAACACTTGTCTGAGGTCCCAGAAGCAAATGGGCCAGGGCTGTTGGATAAGAGACGCCACGGCTCTAAGGAGTCTTCCGACCCTCAGATGCCCTGTCCTCTATCACCATCTCTCTCCCCCTTTTCCTTTCCCTGGGCTCAGGGGCAGGGAAGAAGAGGAAGGTCGTCGGGAGAGCTAGGGAGGACTCATGTGGGGGGCGGCTTTTGGACAGGAGCGTGGGGACCCAGCAGAGACCCTTAGACGCTGCTCCGCACCGGGGCTGGGGACACTCATCAAGCGTGGCTCACCCCGTACTTGCAGGCGGCCTCGGTGGTCTCCCTGAGCTTGTTCTTCACCTGTGGTGTCGAGGTCTTCTCCAGAAGCTCCCGGCCTTGCTGTGTTGACATGCCGGCCTTCTCTGCGGCCTGAGGGGACGTGACAGGGAACGAGACCATGGCTCTATTAGCGGGAGAGGGGATCTCAGGAGAAAACGCGGGTCTTTCTGCTTTCTGTCCCCAAGTTTTCCTGGCAAGGCCTTTACCTTCCCACAAGCGGAGGACTATCCTTGCCAAGAGGGGCTAGTTTCCTCCTCAAATCTTGAGTTTAATGGAAAAAGCAGGAGGCAAAGACTTACAGTTGCATAAATCTAACACTAGAGGGCGCCCTACGGATGGCTCCTGACCTCTTCTGGAACCTATGAGACAAGTCCAGGTGGTACCCGGCTGGGCCACCCTTACAGAGCTTGTTAGGAGCAGAGCCAAAGTGAAAGTCTGAGCCCTTGATGCTAAGTCTGGGGCTCTTGCCTTCCCACTTCTCAGATTCCCTGAATATCTTGTGGGATTTTTTTTTTTTTTTTAATCAGGGCTGGGCTCTGATTCCCATGGAATTCCCTGGTGGGATTTCTGTTGGGCTGTTTGCTAATACTTCAGCCCTCCCGATGGAGGAAGGGTCGCTAACGTTAGTCCTCTCTCTCCCACTGACTTCCTCCATCAAATAAATTCAAATGGAGAATTTTGCTCTTCCTCTCTCAACCCTGAGATATACTTGTGAGTCCTCTCAGTTCCAGCTTTTCAGTAATCTGGACTCTCGCAGACAGATACGCTCTCTCGCCAAGTACAATAACCTCTTCCGTCTGGAAGTGAGACTAAGCCCTCTCCGCCCCCAAATGCCCACTACTGTCAGATTCCCTGCAGAGGAGGGGGTGGGCTGGGCGCACGCAGGGCAGGACACTCACTGCCAGGATGCTCTGAGGATCCGAGATGTGTTCGTCCTGGGAAGAAGAGAACACTCAGCCAGGAAGGGGGTGGCCAGGTGAGGGGCGGGATGGACAGCGGTGAGGAAGCGCATGGCCGACAGACTTCCTGTGGGACACAGGCACTGCCAGGTAGGGCTCCCCTAGCTTGCTTCCCGTTGGATGACCTGCCTGCCCTTTCCTGCTTGTGACATCCCCCAGAGCTCAGGTGCCTTCAGCCTCCCACCCAAGTGTCTCCTGACTTGTCCTGCTCCTTCTCCTCTTGTGTCCTCCCCCCACACCCTCCTGCCCCAACCTTCTGTTTGCTCCACTCGGATGCCGAGTTTTCCCAGGGTTTGTTTCATTGCACTTAGCAGCCCCGCCCCTCCTTCTTGGCCCCACAGTCTCCAAGACCGCCGCCTTTCCTTTGCTGTCCCATCTGTACCCCACGCTCTTCACCTTTTTCAAGGAGCACAGAGAAGAAATCCTTGGGGAACTGCAGAGGAACCTGCATATGTTCACTCAGGAGCTTAATGTCAGTTGTCAGGTATTGGGCCTTGCGGGGAAGCAGAGCTGGAGGCTTGTTTCCTGCAAGTGGAAAGTTGTACTTGCTTCTGAGAAGCGACCTAAGGATCTCAGGCTTGGGGGGCCCTCCCGGGTTTGGGGTAGAGGGCCAATTACCAGCTGCTGGTGCCCACATGAAGACCCACTGGAGGGCAGGCCTCCTGGGCCTTTGAAATCTGCACTTCGTCCAGTCCCCGCCCCGGGCGCTGTTGCCTTCATACCACTGTCTTTCATGATCCCTGCAATGAGGCTCGGGCGCAACTGCAGGTGGATGTTCCAGATGTTCTTGTATCGGCACAGGATCTGCAGGAGCGGAGGCAGAGATCGCAGCCAGTGTGCAGACGGAAGGCGCGCGCGTGGCAGAGGGACAGGGAAGGGCGTTTCGGGATAACTGATTAGACAGCGGCTCGAAGCGCAAAGGAGGGGTTGGGCGGACCCCCGGAATTGCTTGGCTTGAAATGGCTAGACTCGCTCACTCCTAGAACTCCATCGTCGCTCCTGTGGACAGTTGCCATCCTGTTCTGCACTCCTCCCCCCCGGCCGCCCCCACCAACTGACATGAAAGGGCTAAGAGGTGGCCGTGCCCAGCGGCTTTCTCCTTGATTCTTCAGAGTTGCCACTTTTCCAAACCATTAGTGGAAAACCGCTGTGTTAGGATCTAAGAGTTCGGCCTGGAGCCGGCGACTGTTTCCATCTTACAAACACGAAGTGACCTTCAGCCCTGGCTCTCTACCTGCCTGTCCTAAAGCCCTTCGACAAAGCCAGGAACTGCACGAGACCGTGGGCCCTGCCTCTTGCATTCGCCCTTCCTTCTGCCCTCGTCGTCCCGGCCTCGGCGTCACCTCGAACCCCAGCCAGGAATAAGGGGACAGCACGTCGTAGAAGAGCTCCACGGTCCGTGGCATGGGCCCCATACTGCCGCGCAGAGAAGCGCGCCAGAGAGGCGCCGTTCGCTCGTTTGCTTTCCTCCCGTCCCCGTTCCGGGCCGGGCCGAGGACCGCCTCCCGCCTTCACTGCGCAGCCTCCCGGAGGGGACCCGCCTCCCAGAGCCCTGCGGCTGGTCCGGGGCCGGTGCCCGCGTGGGTGTGGTGTCCTTAGAGGGGGCGCTGGCTGGGTGACGTGCGCACCTCCAGGTCGCCGCCCGCCCCTGGGGTGGAGTCTGGGGAAAGGGGAGTGGTTTCAGATGCTCTCAGCCCCGGTACCGGAGCTGTGCGCCCTGCGAAAGCCACTCGACCTCTCTGAACCTCCGTTTCCTGCTCGTCGTGAAAGTGGGGATGCTTCTTGATATCCCCTACCTCCTTCAGCCTTGGGAGGAATGAAGGGACTCAGACTGGTAGCTGCATGAACTTCTTTGCACTGGGGCAGCGGAAGAAGTGATGGATATAAATGGATATAGATATAGGTATAGGCACACACCCCCACAGGATCAGGCAGAAGTAACGCCTGCTTGAGTGCAATCGGTAGGGTAATAATATGGGTGTAATAATTTATAGTTTTAATTCGAGCATTTCACCTAAAATGTCATCTGGTGAGCTTGAGTGTGACGTTATGCCACAGAATTACATGCTTACGGTTTTGTAATAAAAGACTTTGTAATTAAAAAAGGGGGCGTTACTTGTGTCAGAACCTGTATATATTTGTTTATGTTTATATTTATGCTTATATTTGTATTTCTCAGAGCTTAGCGCGACACCTGGAACATGTTGGACCACGAGCTCGTAATCTGTGAGTGAGTGGGGGAGGGTCTCAGACCTCGCCGCAAGGGTAATTGCAGCGACCACGGGGAACGGCTCGTCCTGTTTGTTCAACTTTAAAAAGAATCTGGAAGCTCACTATATATTAATATTGAATGATATCCTATACATTGAATATTAAGTGAAAAACAAGGTGCACAACAGTTCATATTTTTGCTATCCTTTTTTAGGGATTGAAATGCTCTCTAAGTGTGTGGGTATACACGTGACCTGTGTGCTGGTTGATATGCTGAATGGCAAGACTGAAAGTTGCTTAAAATTGGTTGCTTTTGAGGAGGGAAGCTACGTGACTGGGGGCAGAGCAGGAGAGAAGAATGCAATCATCCAGCAGGGTGAGGAATGCAAAAGGTTTGTAGCGATTTGTAGCAAGGGGTCTCTCTGATGGAAGCCCCTTTTGAAAGAGTAATGAGAGTTCTGTTGTGCATAATGTTTAACCCTTTGTGACCTCTTGACCTATGTGGGCCTATCTTCTCTGTCCAGACAGACAGGCAGGAAGGAAGGAGGGAGGGAGGAAGGCGGGAAGGAAAACTGAGACAGGAAGGAGGTTGTGCTTAGGAACTTGTTCTGGCAGAACGGGGAGGGGAGTGCAAGGAGGCTTATTTATGTGATTTATTTCCACGATTTATTTCACTTAGCTTTAAGGAAAATGTCCCTGATGAGTGGCCATGTAGGAACACATGCGATGCAGTTTTAAGATATAATATTTGTCAAGATATAACCGAGCATTTACATCACTGGTTCTAAACACCTGACATTTTCTTAGGGATTTACCAAGGTTTGTGGGAGATCCTGTGTGCCAGCTCCCACAGTTAAGAAACCGGACCAAAACGTGGGGGGTGGGTAGACAGTATCACGGACGCAATCTTGGATATGCTGTGCTGTGTTAAAAGGGGCCAGCCTTGGCCAACCAGGGTAAATGGGATTCATAAATTTAGTGGGAGCATCTCACAGTTCATCACAACGTACCGGTGAGACAACACTGCAGCTGGAACAGCTCACATGTCCTGTCACTCTACCCTGGTAAAATGTGGACAAAAGAAAAGGAAAAATGCAAGTAGCTGTATCAGGGATTTAGACACATTTTTTTTTTTATTAGTTTTTCAGACTCCCTTTCAGGCTTTGATCATTGTTTTTGTTCCTTTTCTTAAAAAAATCAAGTAGCTGTATGGAGGTATCACGACATGCAATTAACTGCACATAATTAAAGTGTGCACTTTAGTGAGTTCTCACATAGGCAGACACCTGTGAAACCGTCACACCGGGAAGGTTGTGAACTTATCCGTCACCCCCCAAAGTTTCCCGCTGTCTGTCCCCTGGCCATCTGTCCCGCCCTCCCTGCCCTCCATCCATGCCCTGACGACCAGGGGTCTCTTCTCTGTCACTAGAGGTTCCTTTGCACCAATCTTTCCATCACTATTAGGTGATATTTTTTATATAATAAAAATCTTCACACCCCAGAATAAATGTTAGAAGCCTGAGCCCGTGGTTCCTGACGTCACGGTTGGGAGGCGGACACCTGGAGGTTGGAGAGGAGGCCCTTCATCAGGGTTGGTTTGGGACGGGCGCCCGGGGGAAGGGGAGGAAGGGACAAGGAGCGGCCAGGGGAGGGGAGAGCATGGGTGGGGCTGAAGCAGACACTGGGCTGCGGTGCCCTCTGCACCCAGGCCTCAGCCAGCCCCGCAGGGAACTCTGGAGCTGGGATGGCCCTGCAGAGCCACCCCAAGTTGGGACACCCCCTCATGTGCCAGTCTCAGGGTGCGGGCTGCCCTGGGCAGAGGGCTGACCTTGGTTAAGGTGTCTGTCAGCGGCGGGCTGTCTGGGGCGGGGGTCATGTTTGAAGGGGCATCTGTGCAGACGCCATGGTGCCCCTGATATAATAATCCTGACATTTCTCCCATCCTGAAATGATAGCATTAGAGAAACAAATTTCAAATTGTGGAAAGGAATGGGGGCATTGACATATTTTGAGGTTTTTTTCCTTTTGGAATTTGAAAGGACAGGGAGGACAATCCTTAAATTCAGCTTCAAAAGTGATTCATTTACTCACTAATTCATGCTTTCATCCTCTAGGCAGGATTTCTCCACCTCAGCACTGTTGACACCGGCCTGGGTCATTCCCGGTTCTGGGGGGCCGTCCTGTGCGTGGGTGGACGTTTAGGGGCATCCCTGGCCTCTGCCCACTAGACACCAGCAGCACCCTCCATGCCTACTGTGACCATAAAATACACCAAGTGGAGGAAAACAGATGCCAGGGACTCCGTATCCTGTGATTCGAGTTGAATTTCTAGACAGGACAGACAGCAGATGAGTGGTTTTTCCCACTAGGAGTGGGAGGGGGCACTCTGTGCAGTGATGGGATTGACAGGTGTCTCCTGAGGGGTCAGAACCCCCCCCCCCCGCCCCTGGGGAGAGTCACTGCACCAGGGTTTATTCAGTGCCCTGCCCGTCCCTGTGGGTTCTGAGTGCCCAGGGTACCAGGACTCAGTTCATCCTTATGTGGGGGTCAAATTGGTTGGCAAACTCAATGTAAAGTGTGTAGTGTGTAGTGTGTGTGTGTGTGTGTGTGTGTGTGTGTGTGTGTGTGTGTGTGTTAGGGGGGATGCTGGGGAAATGAGAAAGAATCAGGGAAAACTTTCTATCAAAAGTGGCCCTCCCCCTCTCCCGACTCCCCCCTCCCGCCCGCCAACCGCCCCGCCCCAGCGAGAGCCAGCGACGTGTGCAAGTGCTGCTGTCCCGAGTCTCGAGTCTGAGAACCCGAGAGAAGTTCACTTCTGCTGAAGGGTTTGGCAGTGGGCAGGGCAGGAGGTAAGGTTCCAGACGTGGTGGTTTGCGGCTAGATCACGTGACACCTCTTAACGTCTCCGCTTGAACGATCTCAAGTGTAGGACGAAACTTTAAAATGCATTTTATGAAAGAGCGGTCACTGGAAAAACGCACGAGAACTGTTAGTGATTTAATCGTGTGTTCAGTCACATAGCCACAAACATATATCTTCATTATTTAGTCCATACACAGAGCACTTAGAGACGAGTACCTGTGAGACGCTGTTCTAAATGTTTTAACTCATTTAGCCCTGGCTGGTGTGGCTCAGTGGATTGAGCATCCGCCTGAGAACCAAAGGGTCGTTCTTTCCATTCCGAGTCAGGGCACAGGCCTGGGCTGCAGGCCAGGTCCCCAGTAGGAGGCGCGTGAGAATCAACCACACACTGATGTTTCTCTCCCTCTCTTTCTCCTTCCCTTCCCCTCTCTAAAAATAAATAAAATCTTTAAAAAAAACCCTCATTTAATCCTCATGACAACCCTTCAAGATAAAGTACTGTTTTCTTTAGCAGCTTTATGCATTAGGCTTCATTTATGTATCATAAAATGTTCCTATTGTATGTACCATGCAGCAATTTTTACTGAATTTGTAGAGCTGTGCAGTCATCGACACGATCCTGCCTTTGAATATTCCCATCAGCTCAGAAAGTTCCCTGACGCCAGTTTGCAATCAATTCTATTCCCACCTTAGTCAGCTTGCTTTCTGTCTCCACGGATTTGCCTTTTCAGGAAACTTCATAATGTGATGCGCACATATGTATACACAGCATCTGGTTTCTGTCACGTAGCGCGGTGTCTTCGGGGCTCACGCGTGGAGCAGCATCCGCAGCTTCTTGCTTTGTATCACGGGGCAGGGTCCGCTGCACGCGTGCACCACGCTTGGTTTATCCACCAACCCAACGATTTTCAACCAGCGTGCCACAAGAGTTTTTCAAGCGTGCCGTCCCTGACTATTTCTAAAAATTATTTATTCGTTTTTTAGAGGGAGGGGAAGGGAGGGAGAAACAGGGGGAGAGAAACATCGACCGGTTGCCTCTTGTACGTGACCCAACCAGGGGACAACCTGCAACCCACGCATGTGCTCTGACCAGGAATTGAACTGGTGCCTTTGCACTTTGCAGGACGGTGCCCAACCAGCCGAGCCACACCGGTCAGCGCACAATACCCGCCTAGTTAGTCGGGGGCACTGACCTCCTTTTCTTTAGGTTGTCAAATAAAAAAATGATTACAGCCAACTCAACAATAGCTGTTCAGTGTGAATGGATCAAAATTATACCTATTTTTGTCAGATTTATATATATATATATATATATATATATATATATATATATATATGCGCTGCAGAGTTTTGG